TTCTTTTATTCTTTAAAATAAAAAAAAAACAAAAAAGTGTAAAAAAATAAAAATAAAAAAAAATAAAAAGAAATGGGAAAAAGTTTTAGCCAACTGTGTCTCAGACAAAGGATTTCTATCTAGAACATAAACAGAATATTAAAAATCAGGCCCCCAAAATTCAAAGACCCAATAAAAAAAATGGACATCTGAGGTAAATACTTCTTAGATGAAAAAATACAAATGGCAAATAAATATATGGAAAAATGTTCAATATTACTAGTTATTCAAGAGATGCAAATTAAAACAACACTGAGATTTCATCTCACCACAGAAGGAATGGCTATCATCAACAAATCAACCAATAACAAATGCTGGAGGGATTGTGGGGGAAAAGGAACACTTCTCCGTTGTTAATGCAAGTGTAGACTGATGAAACCACTGTGGAAATTAGTCTGGAGATTCCTTAAAAAACTAGGATTAGAGTTCCCATTGGAACTAGTTATTCCCATTCTGGATATTTTCCCAGAAGAAATGAAAACATCACACCACAGCAATATATGTGCACCCATGTTTTTAGCAGCACAGTTTGGAATAGCTAAATCTTTGAGACTACCTAAATATCCATTGACTGAAGAATATATGAAAACGATGTGGTATTTTTATACAGTGGAATACTACTCAGCTATAAAGAAAGATAAACTCAAGGCTTTTATAGGTAAATGGATGCAACTTGAGACCATATTCATAAGTTAAATAAATCAGAATTCCATGTGTAAGCCTCATATTGTCTTCCTAGTGTAAGAAACCGAAAGTGTAAGTAAGATCCAAAGGTACAATAGATCTAGTGAAAGGGAAAGAAACTGCTCAAGAGGAAAGAACAACTGTGATAGAGGAAAAGAGAAAAGAAGGAAGGGAAAAAAAGATATGTATATATACACAAGATAGCTAAGATAATTGCACTACTAATTTCTATTAGTTCATTGAAAGGAACAGTTAGTGCTTATATTGTTTGACCAATTTTGCATGCCTAGTAATCTGAGAAACTACATTGATGATAACAATATGCAATATAATAACTATTATTAATTTCTTATTATCTTATTTTGAAATTCTGCATCATTTTTATTGTTTTTCTTTCTTTACAATAAAAAATTAAAATATATAGTCCATATACTAGCAAAGATTAAAAAACCATAAAGTGTTGGATTAACTTTTAGAAATTCAACTAAAAAGCAAAAGCATTTGTACATTTATATGTCAAAGCTAAGAAAATATGTTGAGACTTTTAAGCAGCCCCACTCGTGAATGTCTCATACTATATAATTCATAACCCTGAAGAAAATTTGAACTCGGAGTTTAATGAGCTTAGCAGCATGATGACTGTCGTCTTACCCAGGAGGACACATCTCAGCAGGTCAGCTTTGTTAATTCTAAATATTGTGACAAATGTCACCTGAAACTGCTTTAGGGTGTTATATAGGCTGTATCAAATTATTTTCTTTATTGTACCAACTGCAATTTCTCTTAAAGGGAAATATCAAAGTACATTCCTCACAAGATTTTTCTGAGACTGAATAACCTGTATACACTACTGATCACAGTGACTGGCAGAAAAAGAGCTGCAACAGTTATCATCTCATATAACTGAGGATATCATTAATATCCAAATCCTTTCAACATGTAAATTAGGACCATGTTGTTCAAAATACATGGATTGGTATGGAAACCTAGCACACTCAGATTGAGAGCCAGAAAGCAACAGCACTGTGTAAAGGGTATTCTTTACCTATTTGACCATTAAATCCTGAGTATGGTCATCATTTGAACACTCACTGGCAGAAGCATTTGACTCCACCAATGGCAC